TAGGTCCCAGGTGTCTTTTGGGGGTCCCCATTCAACCTACCAGAATCATCTTGGCCTTTTGATTATGTGTTGTCTCTCTTCTGAATCTAATGCACAAATCTTTCTATATTTATTTTCTTGATCTACGCCAATGTGTCTAAGATGGAATAACTCATCATCATTGATGGGAAATCAGAGATCCAGACTTTGATTTTGAATTTTCAGCCATTATCTGGCAATGCGATCTTGGATAAATGTACTCACTTTAAAATCTTATTTTTTATGTTGATTGCAAATACAGAAATCAACCAGTACTCGTTTAGAAAGGAAAAATTCATTGTAAGTGGTAGAAATGTCCCACCTAGCTCAAGAAAAGAATATAACCAGACCTCAGGAAGAAATAGATCATGAAATTGAAGTTTAAGCTCTCTTCTCCAATTTTTAGCTCTATTTCTCTCTGTAACATAAAAAATTCCTTTTTTTTCCCTCTCAGATGGATGTTTTCTAACCAAAGCCCTAGAGTCTGTCTACAAGGACAGCTCTTTTCATCTTTCCCCACCATCTTGTCTCCATTTCTGCTCCCTGTTCCTCCTCAATATCTTTCTGCTCCAGTTCCAGATTCCTAGTTGAGGAATCAGAGTGAGCCAGTTGGATCAGATAAACTGCTCTGTCTACCACCTTGGCCAGAGATACGGTGGTGTTACACAAAGATGGGTTGTGAATATCAGAGCATAGAGATGGGGATAAAGGCAGTTTCAGCAAAGAAAGAATCAGAGCTTGGCAAATTCACAGGAACATGCCCCACTTTGCTCTTCTTTACAATGCAGTCAATTGTTTCTGCCATGCTCTCTTCACAAGGATTTGTGAGGATCAGTGTAGATGTTGGTTCTAAGAACATTTGCAAATTTTGTATTACACACTTGAGTGAATTGTCTTTGAGTTTAAAGTGCTAGATTTGAGTCCTGGACAAGTAGCTGATTTGATCTTTAAATCTGTTTCTTAAAAAAATGAAATAAAGAGAATACTCCACATGTGAAGTGGATAAAGATTTTTTAAGAGTTTATCACTATGACTGCCAAAGTTTTTATTGTCCCGCAATGCAGGGGAGGGTCATAATTTTCAAAATAGGGGCAACATTGTGGGAGAAAGTAGAGCTACAAGATTCGAGTGGGTGATGCATCTAAGTGGAGGCAGCCCTTCAGAGTTATCCAGGCAAACAATGTGACAACACCACCTGAGTTTAAATTCTGGTTATATTTGGCTCTATCTGGACTTTATGTAACATTGATTTCTCTATCCCTTTATTGTTATTATTTCTGACATGTCTAGAAAAGTAAGACAGACATTCATAACACAAGAAACTCTCAACTTTAGAATGGAATAGAGGAAGATCTCAAGCTTCTTGAAGATCTATGCTTCAGTGTTGATACTGGGGAAACAAGAGCAGAAGAGCAAGTTTCTTCACCAGGAGGATCAAAGAAGTTAGATATGTCTTGTCAAGAAGGTAGTCAGTGGGGTTATGACTGTTCCCTTCTCTTATTTCCAGTGGGGCTGAGGCATGATAATATCTCCCTCTGGCTCCAGAGCTTCCCTGTACCTCAAAAGATTGGAAGGGACTCAGAAGAAAACCTGGACTGAGGCCTGAGGTCATTCCACTCTGGGCCTTAGAAGACAAGTTCTACTCTTAAAATCATTTCTGCCCCTCATAAAAAAAAAAAGAAAATCATCTGGGCAAATTCTTGACTAGACCTGGTAGAAAAATCCAAGAGATTATCCGAGACTTTAA